TCTTTCAAGCATGAAAGTTCCTCCGGCCCCAGCCCAGTGCTAGTGCCCCAGGCTTTGGAGAGCCAAACCTTCATTTAACCTTCATTATTTCCAGTCTCTGAGCCTAGCTCCTCTCAGCCTCCCTCCTTCTCTCTTTCAGTGTCCTCAGTAAAGGGGTCGGGTAGTGGGGTCTTTAGGGGCCTTTCAGCCCATCTCCTTTGGTTCCTTGGATACAAGACGGTATTCGGGCCAGTGTTCATGAACAGGCTGAGGTTCCATGCCCAGGAGTTTGGAGTACACCTTATTCCTTTCTTCCCCATCTCCCCACACATCTCTGGGGTCTCTGGGCTGAGCAGGAGAGCAAGGGTAAGGCAGCCTGCCTTGTGTCCGAAAGAGTCCAAGATCCCCAAGTAAGAGCAAAAAGGAACTGGGGGCAAAAGGGAGAGGAAAGCTAGGTTACTCGGGGACTAGATTTCTCATTCGGTATCCATGGCCCTGCAGCCAGGTCAGCAGGTCACAGGGCGAAGGCCACATGGGTCTCTGGTGACTTTCACCTTTCAGTGCCCAGATGCCCTGTGTAGGCCACCTGGCTTATCTAAGGCTTCCCACCCCACCCAGTGTGCACTTCCTGGCAAGAGTCTACACTGTGGGGGCGCCTGGGTGGCTCAGTCGTTGAGCGTCTGCCTTCGGCTCGGGTCATGATCCCAGATTCCTGGGATCGAGCCCCGCATCGGGCTTCCTGCTCGGCGGGATGCCTGCTTCTCCCTCTCCCACTCCTCCTGCTTGTGTTCCCTCTCTCGCTGTCTCTCTCTGTCAAATAAATAAAATCTTAAAAAAAAAAAAAAAAAGAATCTACACTGGGGACCTTCTTGCTTCCTTTCTCCTTTGGACAGGGTCTGGGTCTGATAAGTTAATGGCAGTTAATGGCTTTAGCTGGTGAGTGGTGGAGTCAGCACTCACTTGGTCTCAAGCCAGGGGGAGGGGGCTGAGTGTGCTGTAATCTCTACTTCCCTGGAAAAAAAGGCCTGAGAACCTGGCTGGGGCTATGCAGGGCCAGCAGGAAGGGAGGGTGTTCCAACCAGGAGACGGAGGGTCTGAGTCCATATTTGAGGGCTGAAGAAGTCACAGGATCTCCCCTCGTTGCAGGACTTGGGCAGCAGGTTCTAGAGGAGGAGAGTTGAGTGCTGTTCTAGAGCCCGTGGTGTCACTGAGGTGGAGCTGTCGACAATAACGGAGCCAGCATCCACTGAGCACTCCTGTCCCGACTCTTTACAAGGATCTTTACATCATTCACTCTTCATCCTCACAAGACCTCTATCAAGTAGGTACCATTTGTTATAATCTGGTTACACTGTTGAGGAAACAGAAGCCCAGGGGTTTGGTCACGCGCCCCAGATCACATAGTTGTAAGCGGTGGGGCCACGATTTGCCCTCAAGTCTGACTCCAGCCCATTCTCTAGGCCTCTGTGCTCCACGGCCTCCTTCACTTTGATGGACTGTGACCAAGAGGTATAGTTGAGACCAAGCCAAGGTCACTGGGTCTAGGTCAGGGGTGTCCTGGAGCTGGCTCTTCGGTGGCTTCAGAGAGCCAGCTGGGCACATCTTTCCAAATTCTCGTGTAGTGACATCAGGACGGTAGCCCGAAATGGGCCATAGTGGGAGTATTTACACTGTGGAAATTGGCAAGTGCTATCAGGGCTTGTTTTCCTCCCCGAAGACCACTGGGCTGGGTGCAGCAGCAAATGCCAGCCCCCGGATGAGCTGTGGATGCATTAAGCAGCACGTACAAAGGAACATGCTAAATCTGGACACCTCTGAGCTACATCCAGGCCTTCTCCCAAGGGATCCAGGGTTGCCAGGTTGTTCTGGGAAGGTGCTTCTAGCCCCAGGACCAAGCTGGAGCAGCAGAAAAGCCCAACTTGGTGCCCAGGCCTGGCCCTGCTGTGGACTAATCACAGGAGTTTAGGCAAATAACGTAATCTCTCATGGGTAGAACGGAGACAAACCAGCACCGACTTCACTGTGCCTTCATGAGGATTAGGTGTTACAGAGGTGTGGGCGCTTGGTAAGCTGTGTCAGTCAAGAAGTGTTTGGTCCTTTTCTAACTTGCCTAGACACGGCATTTTCCATCCCTGCAGATCTCCATAAGCCCCTCCCCACCCCCTCCAGCCACTCTGGTCCCAAGGCGGGGTGGGGGGGGGGCTGGGGGGCAGGCCGCCCCCACTTCACAGAGCAGTGCTACTCCTCTCCTCCCCTGCTTACCGCCAACACACATCAGCTCTCGCGTCCTTTGGACCCTTAACATCACTCCTGATGACGGAAGACCCCTGCGAGGATGGGGCCTCTGGTGAGCACAATGGAAGCTGCTACAAGGCTGGGCCACACAGCTGCCTCAGCGGCGGACAACTGCTACTCCCTCACGCTCCTTGCCCTACTGTGTGGCGGGTTACAAGAGAAAAAAGGTCCAGCTTCCTACTTATTTTGGAATAAGTTAAAATAAATTAAAAGAACAACCAACATTACTCAAGTAAGCTTGTAAGTGGGAGGCCCAAATGCCCCTTGGGGTAACGAGGCTCACCTGCCCAGCCAGGGCTTCTCTTCGAATTAGAATGGCCTCAGACACTGAGACACAGTGGAATGGTTCTTGCGCTCAAAACATCCCTGTCTTCTTTCTGGGAACCCGAGGGAAAGTCAGATTCAATTAAGGACAAGAAGAACACCATGGCATTCAAAATAAGAGCTATTTATTACAAAAGTAAATGGCCTCTGATTATCTGTGGAAACTTTTTATATATATAAAATTGTGGCCCAAAAAGCTGGCTGGAGGTTGGGCTAACAAACATCTTCTTCCTCCACCAGCAAGTTTGTGGGGCATGTCACATTTCCGCCAATTCCTGGGCACTGGAGCCCACATTCAGAGCCCCACCTTGATCGCCCCTCTCCCCAGTGTCTTCCACCGACCAAACCTGAGCACTGGAAGCTGCATCAACCCATATGGCCTTGTCCTCAGAGAAGTGCCTGCTAGTCTGGGCTAAGAGGAAGAGGAGGGAGTGAGCCAACAATTCTTCTCTCATCCTTGGAACGCAGTATTAAGAGAGGAACCCTTTGTCCCCAGTGTGGCCAAATTAGGAGGGAGCCATGGGCAGGAAGCTGGCTGGGCTTTCTCCTTCCTCACGCTCACTCAGAGTGGCTGCCTCTCTGCTCCTTGGGAGTGCCTCCCTTCCAACAAGTCCCTAGTAGGAAATAAGAAGGTGCAAGGGGACACCAGTCACCTCCCAGTTGTCACGGGGTCATGGTTCTTGGCTGAGGGGCAAGCACAGACTCTTCATTCTCCCTCCAGAAAAACCCACCCAGATGGCTACCCCCAACCAGCTTAGAAGAAACCAACTCCATCTTTGGGGAGGACAGACTGGTGCGGTAGAAGGGGTGAGCAGAAGTTCTCTATCCCTGCTCTCCTTCCCTTCCAGAAACGCAATTAAGCCCATAGCCCAGACTCAGCACACAGGCAGCACTTCCTGCCAGGGGAAGTCAAAAGGGGTTGCAGCCCTGGGAGAGGGAGGTCATCATACCCCAGATCTAATTAACAAACCTGCCTTGCTTTTGACATTGCTGCATTTCCTCTATTAACATTAATGATGGCTGGTCTGAACGGCTAAGGATGGCCAGAAGCTTCCCTCCCCACTGCCCAGTAGGTAGCACAGCCTGTCCCTGGGCCCAATTTCCAGTCTCCGTGGCAACCGCCTCTCGAAGATGCTCTAAAGAGCTCTGACCCTGTCAGAAGTGGTGGGGGCTACAGAGGAGGGAAGATGAAGTGTGGCAGAGCCTCATCATTAAACCTGGAAGCATCACAGTCCTCTGAGACAAAATACTCTGTCATGCACCAGCAGGAGGGAGGCAGCCTGAAGAGCGGGCCCGGGGCTGGTTAGGTTCTGACCCAAGGGTTTTCTTAATCTCTTCCATTTGGGAAGGAAGTGAAAGGAACAGCTCTGAGCTTCTTGCTTGGGCTTTAAAGTGGTAGAGAGTAGAAGCTTTGCTGCATTTCTAGGTGCTCTAGGTCTTTGGGAGAAAGAGATCGGTGGAACAGTGACACAGAGAAAGGGAAATGAAATGCATCCAGGGCAGCAGGGAAGACTAGAGAAGTAAAAGTGGGAAACACCTCATGAGTGACAGGAACATCAACCCAGACAGGCTGGAGCAGCCCACCGGGACCCCAGCCCGGCACCACAGATCCCTGCCCTGCTGCCCACCAGCCTCAGCAGCTAAGGGGCCCCCAACCATGGGGAGAATGCATCTGTCCCACCTCGTAGCCAGGCTGGATGCAGACGGAAAAGGACATAGCAAGAAACCACCTCTGGCACGCAGGGCCTGGGAACAGAGCAGCCAGGGACAGGACGCCATTCCTCCCACCAGTCATCATGTGGTGCTCTCAGAGAGCAAGGAACCAAGGGCTGGTGAGTGCTCGGCTGCCTCACTCCAGAGCCCAGTCTTCTGTGCACACTGCAGGGAGTGCAGCCACCTGCTGCCCCAGAGACCTCCCAGCAGCTGCCCTCCTCCCCACACTGGGAAGCAGCTGGGAGGCCCTCCAGCTCAGGGGCGCTCAGCTCTATTTGTTTGTGGGGAGAAGGCCGGCACAGCTTTGATGCCCCATCTGCTCCGCCCTTGGTGATATCCCAAAGTGGGGCCAGTGAGCTCAGCCTTGTTGGAGGTCAGAGAATTTTTGATGGCTCTTGCTTTCAAGCCAAATCCAGTGTGAAAGAAATACCAGAAAATACTACTATAGCCCTGGACTATTTCTTACAGTTTATGACACTCAGCTGTCCACAGTCACGGTCTATATTCCACAGGTGTATGGACAAACGAACCCTCCCACTCCCACACACTCACGCCCACTCTCTCACACACTCATCCTTATGTTGCACACTTGGGGAAACGGGCCTGAGAGATGTCCGCTGTTGCTGAGCCATTCCCAGCGGTGGGATCTCTGCAGACAGCGCTGGGGTCTCTGCAGACAGCGCTGGGATCTCTGCAGACAGCGCTGCAGCTCTCCCTAGTGCTGGGCTAAATTCCAGGTATGCTCCCAGAGCTTGGTCCTGGCAGGCAGCAGAATTCCTCAGGCTCCTCGGGCAGCTTTGCCCACAGCTGGGAGGGTCTGGCTGCACAGCTGGCTGTCCCCAGAAAGTTCCTGGATTCTGGCTGGAGTAGCAGTAGCCTCAAAAGTCCCATGATTCAAGCCACCTTAGTCCTGCCATGGGACTTCGGGGGTCCTGGGCTAGGGGACCGACCATCCCATAAGCCAGAGGGTGGAAGAGGTAGAAGCTGTGAGAGAAAATCCAGAGGGAGGCGGTTGGCACCCAGCGCCTCAGCAGGGGCAAGGAGCCCCATGGATCTTTGAAAATTTAGTAGCCCCTACTGGAGCTTATCAGCTCTTCTCCACCTATAAGACCCACCCCTCGTCACAATGCTGTGTTCACCATGTGGGCACACTGTAGTCCGAGAGCTTAGCAGATGATGGCTTAATGAGAAAGAAGGAAAGGGCTCTTCCCAGGAGGCCCGGGAGAGAGACCAGTCCCGGGGTCTGGCCGTGGCTGTTTGGCTCAGAGTATTTGTTAAAATGTGCGTGTGCCCTCAGATCATAGGCCCACCATTTCCTGTTCACACTTTAATGCTGCCTCCCTGGCCCCTAAAGGCCAGTGACTCTCAATAGGGGATCTGTGAGACTGGCAAGGAGGGGGGGTTGGTGAAGCTTGCCAAACAACACCCTCCTTCCAGTTATTCTGAGCCACACCCCACACCCCTCTCCCCACCCTCTCCCTCACCCCAACCCCTCCAGGGCTGTCCAGTGGGGGGGCCGAGGTGACTAAAGAGAGGCAGCCGGTGTGCTGGGGTGATACAAAAGCTGGGACCTACTGGCAAAAAAAAAAAAGAATGCACAGTTAGCCCCAGGTTTCTCCTATCTGGGTCCACATTGGGGTCACCTGGGGAGCTCAGAAAACTGGCTCAATTGAGTGGGAGCCTCCGGGGATGGGGCCCGGGGTGTGCTTTAAAAGCACCCCAGGGGATTCTAAGATGCATCAAAGGCAGAGGCAGGGAGCAGCAATGCAAGGGGTAGGGGCTACTCACCTGTAGGCAGTTCCCAGGAGCAGGCTCAGAAGTCCCACCGCATATATGCCCCTGGCCAGGGAAGAGGAGGCCAGACTCCAGGCACAGAGCCGCAGGAGAGTATCCCACAGAATCCCTAGGAGAAAGAAGAAAGACAGACCTAGTCTGTCAGAGGATGACTTCCTGGGATGCAGCAGAGAGGAGCTACCCAGGTCAGGAAGCAGCGAGACTCCCCCTCGGTGCTTATCCCCCGCCCTTCTCACCCAAGTCCAGGTAGGCGGTGCTGACCTGTCAACATGCTGGAGAAGAGCATGGCTGGGAAGTAGTGGTGGAAATAGAGGATCCGGCCCATCAGGAAGAATGGGAAGTAATGGAGCATCCAGCCGAGCAGGAGCTGACCGCCTCCTTGCAGCAGGACCTGGGACAGCCCTGGGCCCCAAGCAGCACAACTTGGTCAGCAGCCAGGGAGGGGGCAGAGACCCCTGGCTCTCATCCAGCTCTGCCCCTTCCTTGCTGGGTGACTAGACTAAGCCACGTGCCCTTACTGGGCCTGCCTCCCTCATCTGGAGGCCACTAAGCAAGACGCTAAGCAAGCCTCCGGCAGCTGGACAAGATGAGCAGCTGGCCCTCGAGAGCCTTGCTCACTGCCTGCTTGGAGAGGCCTCAGCACCCACGCAGCAGGAGGCAGCCCAGCCTCTAAAGAAACCAAGGTGCAGCACAGCCCCCAGACAGCTGCCCCCACCCCACGGCCATCTCCCAGATCTTTGCTGCCGCCCAGATCTTTGCAGTGGCAGACAGGGCAGAGGTGAAGTCAGAGATGAGAATGGAGGGCAGAGAGGGGGTCTAGGGCCATGGCTGTTCACAAGGGAGCTGCACATGGCAAAAAGAGCCTGCAAGACCATCTCAGGGGCTGTGGTCCCTACTCCGCTAGAGGACAGGGCCATGGAACAGAGGGCGACAGAGGAGAAAAGGTGGGCAGTTCTATACAGAGCATAGAGGTTCAAGTGAGGGCTCTAAAGTCAGACCACTTGGGTCTGAACCTCAGCTCTACATTTACTAGTATATGTCCTGGATAAGTCTCTTCTCTTTGTGCCTTTGCTTCCTAAGCCATAAAATGGGGCTAAGAATGTTCTACTCTACAGGGCTGCTGGGAGCATGGAGTGTTTAACATAGTACTGGTCATTTGGTGACTGAGCTTTAAAAAGCAAAGGAGAAGGGAAAGAGGGGGGTGAGGGCAGAACGGCCCATCGGCAGTGCAGGCTCCGGCCAGCTGCTAGGTCAGGGGAGGGAGAGCCCAAGGGACCGACCTTCAATCTCTGCAGGCAGGCGTGCCCCTCTCTGCACAGCTACAGCCATGATGCTCCCCAAGAGGAGGTAGAGGGCAATGCTCAACAGATTCAGCCACCAAACCACCTGCATGGGAAGGAGGATGGGCGGGTGAGAGGAGAGCCACAGGCCCCCAAGGATCCAGGCTGAGGGCCCACACAGGGAATGTGCTAGGCACTCACCGGGTTGCCGAGCAGATACACGCGGAAGTCTGTGTCATTGATCCCTGAGAAGCGCAGGCCCTGCGGGGCAGAGGACACCCTGCTGATCCAGGGCCCAGTGCATCCCAGCCACACGTGCTCCGGCGGGGAGGAAGACCAGTTACCTTCCACAGACAGGGAGCCTGGGCAGGAGGCCGATTCTATGTGAGCTCGCTGGGAAGGCCGGGTCAGAATCAGGACAGAAAACAGAGCCCTGTCTCTGGCCACCTCATGCCAGGTAAGGCCTTGCCCAGTTGCCCCACCCCACCCTCACCAAGTCTCAACGGTCTCTTCTTTGGCTCCATTTCCTGGGAGCGGCTCTAGCCTTGAGCCCTACCTGATAGTTGATAGGCCAGTGCCAGGGTTTGGATGTGAACTCATTGTCCTTGGGTTTGAGGCCATTGTTCCCCTGCAGGAAAATGGCAAAAAAGAAGCTAGTCAAGGCAGAGATCTAGAGAGCTGACAGAAATGTGAGGAATGGGCATCTCTGACAGATAGCCAACTGTCAAGAGAAACCTCCCCCGTCTCCCTCCGTTGTGGGGAAGAATCTGGTGCTTGTTCTGTCACTGTCCACCTGCTTATGACTGCCTTACTTCTACCAACACACAAGCTTCCACTGCCACCAGGGACAGTCCATTCAGACCCACTATGCTTGAGAGAAAAAAGGACTTGTTTCCTGTGAGCACAAAACATCCATCCATCTTCCAGACCAAGTAGAAGTGTCAAGAGGGCTAGTGGGAGATACAAAATCAGGCTGGCTTACCTGTTCCCTCTGGAGGCCAATTTCAAACACAAAACCAAAACCAAACACTCTGATGGGTTCCTGAACTTGGAAAAAGTTACTTTAGTCCAGTATTTCTCAACTTTTTTTTTTTTTTCATTCTTGCCCCTCCTGGGACTTTTTAGACTTTTTTTTCCTAAATGCCTCCCATCACATTTTAATACCACAGCTATACTGTAAATGTGTTTACATATTGGTTGACTACCTACATTAAAAAGGTAAGGGTTTTTTGCCCTCCAAGAATACATTTTATCCACTGGGAGTGATATTAACCCTGTTCAGAGTGCACACTTTAGCCTGAAGGACCCTGACTCAGCCCCTTTAATCCAGCAGCCAAGACTGTCCAACACCTTGTCTCTACACGCCAAAATTAGGGCTTTTCAAAAACAAAGAAAAGATCAGGACCCTGGATACTAAGCACCAGGACTGGTGTCAGCCTCATTATCAGAACAAATTGAGAAGGCACTTCCCAAGAAGAGGAGTGAGGTGTTATGAGTTAGGTCAGGATCTCTCCACTGAAGGGCCTCAGAATGAAGAATGGATCATCCTAGGCCCCAGAGGAGCTGCTAAGAGAAACTGATTTCTCCAAACCACTGCAGTTCAGTCCCAGACTCGGGGACTCCAGCCAGAGCTATAACCAACCAGGGACATCCTATTCACTTTGTTAATCTCAGAAATACAGCTCCTTTACTAATCCAAGAAATGCAAGGAAGGAAAAGTCTGTAACCATTACAGGCCTATGCATTTACACATCGTTCTCTATGCTTAAAATCCAGAGTGGGCTCATTCCTTCTGACCTCAGCAGGCAAGGCAGCCTTCTCTGTACAGGACTCAGACCCTCCACTCAGTGGGCAGAAAAGCCCTCTCCCATGCAGTTTCTGTCGTCTGGACTATTTTGACCACTCTCCCCACCCTGACTCTATTTCGGTTGAATAAGAACGTTCCCTGATGCCCTTTTATTCTTTGGCTCTACCTCTTAGATAATGAAAGAAGAAACGAGACTATTTAGACTTAGTCTTAAAATTCTACCCAGACATAGAATGATATTTTGACTGACAGGCATGTATTCAAAAGAGCTATGTCATCAGGCCACAGTGACAGCTACAAGCAGGGAGTCGGGGAAGAAGTGACCCGGAGATCACTTAATGTCAAGTCATCACCTCCCAATGTGCAGAAATGACAAAATTTGAATCTTCTGATCTAATCTGGTGAAATAAGTCAACTATATTTACTGAGTACTGCTTACATAATCACTTCCAGGAAAGTCCACTTGACAACGGCTCAGCAGGGGACAAATAACAGGCACTACACCTCTCTGCACCCCTGTGGGTGGAGTGATCATCACATACTGGCTGAAGATACAGTGATTCCTAAACACCTTTCCTGCAGGACACTGGCTTTCCATAAACCAGAGGAAAGGCGTCCCCCCTACACATCAACACTGCAGCAGGCTTTCTGTACAGCACAGGGGAGAAGTTAAGCTAGTGGGTAGAACTTTCTCAATTTAAAGATCTCCTCTGTCAATTGTTCTTACACCACTGAGGTTAGGACTGCTGTCAGATACTAATGATGGGGAATACCAACAATGAGTCTTACAAAACCTGCAAAAGACTCAACACGCCCCTAAACAGTCCCTGTGTCTGGGAACATGCGTGGGCTCATGGTGGGAATTTTATGCTGCAGATAAACAACTTTTGATCAGATCAGCTATTCATCCTAATTCATTCTAATTTCATATGATGGAATGGACTATTACTGTCTCAAGGACTTCAACCAAGAACACTCTAGTTTTCCGGGGCTCTGCCACTGGAACGGATCTGAGAATCACTTAGAAGCAGGAGAGTGTGGCGGTAGGCAGCACTGACTCTGTGAGCCTGCCAGCCCGGCTTTTCCATTTCGTTCTGGGACCCTGGGCAAGTTGTTTAACCTCTCTGTGCCTCGATTCCCTCATCTGTAAAGTGGGGACCATATCCCCGCAGGACTGTGATAACTGCAGAATAAGTTAGTGCAGCACCGTGCACAGAGTGGCGCCGGGCATGTAAGAGCTACGTAAGTGTGCACTGATGTCTGTTGTCCTCACCATCATCATCACCGTCATCATTCTGTGATAAGGGAAATGCCTTCGAAGACCAAGTAAACCAGAAGCGAAGACCCTTTCAAAGTCCTCCACCAGGGGACAGTGGATCTATACCATAGCTACTGATCTGTGATGCAAGTTTGTGGACGGCCAAGAGCTCATAGAGAAGCCTTCCAGTGAGAGGGGGCCACAGTACCCGGATCATCACCATGTGGGACTCCAGCAAGATCTCAGGAAAAGTGGGCTGCAGCACGTCCAGGCTGATGTTTGGCACTAGACAAAGAAAGGACAGAGAAGAAAACCTTGGTCACACGCACATTCTCACAGCCGTCCAGGGTACCAACACCGTGCCTGGAATCCGAGTGTAGCTTTCCTGACACGCTGGCTAACGAGTAAGTTAGAGTGTTGAAGAGACAGAAGGAAGCTTGGCCCAATTCTTGATCATCCCTTCAGCTTGTGCAAAGCCCTCATGAGGCATCTGGAGAAATACAAAGGCAACAGGCGACGGGGCCTGTCCCCAGCGTTGCCACTGCTCTCGGCACCATCACCCTTCGTTATGGTCCAGGCTCGAATGCTAGGCCGGTCTGTGAGGACAGGGACCAAGTCCACCTCATTCACCCCAGGGGCCCCTAGGCTTCCCACTGTACTCACTAAAGAGTTGTTTAATTAGTTAATTAATTAGCTGGGTGGCTAAATTAGGTAGTAAGAATGAAATGGAAAACACAGAGAGGGGAAATGAAGCAGAAGCTTAAAAGGGGTGGTTGAGGAGGACAAATGATGGATCCAAAGACGACTGAGTTGAAGATGATACTGATGTAGAAACATCAAATTGGAGCCTGGGAGTACAGATATGAGGGCTCAGATCCAGGGCTGTGGCCACCGCTTTCTATAAAAGTGTTGGCTGGCTGTGGGGAGGGGCGGAGCACTACACAAGGGCATAAAGGGAAAGCACCAGCCTGCTCTAAGCCTTGAGGGTGGGAGATACCCATGGTGCAGGGGACAGAAAAGCCCAGGAGGAGACCAGAAAGGTGGATCCACATTGCAGGCGGCAAGGAGAAGTGTCAGCTCCAGCAAGAAGCAAAGAAAATGGGACGAGGAAACTAGCTCTGGCCCACCGCAAGGTCACTGGTCACTTTCGGGGGAGTTTAAGGAGGATGGGAAGTTGACATGGTTGGGAAGAAAAAGGAGCTACCTGTCGAGACAACTCGTATGAAGACACTAGGTTCAAAAAAGGCAGGAAATGACAAGGAGATACAGTGGCAGCAGAATCTATGAAGGTTGATTTTTCTAACATAAGAGTTACTTATAAATGTTTCCAGGAAGTAATCTCACTCACATTTGGGATTGATATGGTCCTCCACATTCCAGATAGAGTTGAGGGTTTCCTTTAGGTATGGGGTGCAAGTAACTTCCAACTGTTCCCAGCCCCTATGAAAAGCAGTCACAGAGGTCTCTCAGAAGACGTGAAACTCACCAGAGAGTTGCGCTGTCGAATCTTTAAATTTATAGAACCCTGCTCTTTTCAACCCAGTGGCCACGCTTTTTGCAACCTCACTCTTTTATATCCCATGACTATCCTAGGAGGAGTCCAGCATAGAGTATTCCACTTCAGAAAGGCCCAGAGCATTTACAAGGTCCAAGACAGATGAACAACTATTCTGTTCAACTCTCAGAACACATAAAATACCAAAGGAACTCTGGAATCCTGTGCTCTGTAACACACGTGATGCCTTTTCTCCCTCCACCTACCACTAAAATAAGAAAACATGAGGTGAACATTGACAACTGGGAAACAGAAACTTCTGGTATACTCTTTGTAGTGTGAAAGGAGAAGCATGAGCCTCAATTGGGACATCAAAACCCCAGAGACTCACCACTTGGGCAAGACCTTTCCCGAGGAGCCCAGGACACAACCTGTGACCAGATGGATGAGGCGAATGCGACTTCTCAGCACTTTGATCCGGTTTCCAAATTTTCTGTTTACAACCTCAATCCGCCAGAAATCATTTGAATCTCCTGTCCCATTCTGCCATGTAAATCAAGGAAAAAATACAAAGAAAGTAAGATGACTTTAGAGAAGACATGACAGGAAAGGGAGATGGCCACCCTTCCGATGACACCATGTTACAAAGGTCAAAGACAAAACAGGCCTCAGTGGATGAGGTGGGAAGGGGAACAAGGGGGCCGGAGAAACACCCCAAGTGATGGACAATTCCCCCAGCGCTCATTAACACAACTAAGAAAAAGTAGTGTTAACTCCTACAGCCTGCAGTCCAATTCTTCACTTCAAAGGACTAGAGTTTAAATTCTAAACATATGTCTTTGCTCTTAAACCAAACTCAAGACATCAACCTGAGCCAACAGAAATAGATTTGGGCCATTTGTACCCATTACTTGGCCATCTGGACACTCACTCATCTAAGCCAGAAAGATTTAGCCTGCAGATTATATTTTGGAAATTAAGACACTTGTGTCTAATTCTCCTCAGGAGATGCGCACAAGAAAAAGACAAGCAATGGCTCTGGTACTGTGGGATGAGCAAACAGAAGGAGGGTTGGGAAGTCCACCTTAAGGAACCCAGGATCTTTACTGATGCACCAAAGCCCCTGCAAGGGAACATAAGATAGTCCTAAGTCTAGCTGCCCTGTGTAGTTGTTTTGTTTCCAAATCACTCCCCAAGCCATAAGTACCCATAGAGCTGCTGCTTCTATTAACTGCATCACCCACGCTACTAAAAAATCCAAAAGCAATGTGGTTAACATCCCCCTGCAGAACAGGGAAGTAATCCTTAAAAATAAAGCCAATGAGGACTTGGGATCTGGCAAAGAATAAACATATATTCACCTAGGATCACATTGTGAGTCCATGGCTTCTATGTCCAATGTGATTTAAAAAGGGACCCAAATAGTATTCATATGTGACATTTATTAAGTGTCAGAACATAAAAATGGCATGGTTATTATGGGAGAAGAGAGATGGAGACAAATAGACTCCCAGGCTGCTTTTCCCACAGCAAGCCTAGCCAAAAAGTTCCCAGTGTTAATAGAGTCCCTGTGTAGCCCGTCATCCTTAGAACATTCCAGAATTCCAGGGAGGAGTGTTCTGTCACATGGCCCTGAACCAGGCCCCACAACTTTTTACAGCCTGCTCACACTCCAGTTGCTCACTTACTATGCCATAGCCAGTGACCTGATAGTGCTTCCGGGTCAGGGGGGCCTCATGATAGTGACTATGCAGGTTCCGAGAAGTCCTAGAAGTTAAGCGAGAGAAACACCATTATCCTGGAGCAAAGAGACATGCAATGTCTCCTCTTTTACTAAGGATATTCAGAGTCCTCTGTTAGTGCAAAAAAAAATTAGAATCTGAACTATGAAATCCAACATATCAGGAACATCTTGCCTATTTACTCACAAGAAACATCCAGAGAGTCAGAGAATTGTCCAAACCAGCATGGACAGATGGTAGGAGTCCTGGACTCCATGCCAAGAAAGAGGTTAACTTCAGCAGTGGGGGGAATGACTTACCACATTTGGTGGCTTTGAAGCACTTAGCTTGCCTGACTCATGAGGCAGCTTTGGGGAGAAGAAATTAAAGTTTGTAATCTACACACGCCTAAGCCAGGTAAGCCTCCTCCCTCCCATTTACTCTTCCTGCCCTCATCACCAGTTTTATAATGTGGGGATCTGTGGGGGAAGGGAGGGATTCATTTGGCTTTTATTTACTTTGTGCCTTTTATAGTAATTCTTACTTTTATCCACAATAAGAAATAAGTGTTCTTTATAAAAATTCTGGAAATTTCCAAAAATAAAACTTAACAATAAATAATAAATAACTTTTGTCAATAAAACAAAATGAAATTTATTAAATAAGTAGTAAAGAATAAAAATTAAAAAGTATCCATGATTATACTAGAAAAAAACACTGCTTATAGCTTTTCTCTATATATAATCCCTGATTTTTAAAAAATTCCATACCTGGGCGCCTGGGTGGCTCAGTTGGTTGAGCGGCTGCCTTTGGCTCAGGTCATGATCCTGGAGTCCCTGGATCGAGTCCCGCATCGGGCTCCCTGCT